ACCTTGAAGATGAACCCCTTTTAGTGCGACCCCTGTTGATGTGGTACCTTGACGATGGACCCCTGTTGGTGCGACCCCTCTGGCACCCTCTACTGCAGCAGAAGGATCTAGCCGTGAAGCCTGAAGACAAGAAACACACGGCCCATCTTCGGACTGGCGTGTTTCTCCTGTGTACGGAAGGGTCCCCGGCAACTGGCCCACGACAGAAGACCCTAAGGCCTTCGGTAACTTGTGCTGGGTAGAAGACTCGAGACTACAATACACAGCTGACGCTAACACTAAAGTCCAAACCGCTAACACAGAGTCATAGAACTTCTCCATGCCGTGAACGGACCACCTAGGATACACTGTACAGGCCACACGACGGTTGTGTTAGAACCTGTCTCTGGCGACCACTTGAGCGTGTGGCGGACAAACCCGAGGCTTGTGGAAAACAAGCCGTGCCACTGCGTCATTGCTCCAACTCGGTTTTTGTGTGGTTCTCAAACTGTGTGGCTGTATGCGCGATCTGGGACAACCACTAACACTACAGTCGTTGTACTGATCCTGGCGGGAACTATAACCAAGCGATATATATATATATATATATATATATATATATATATATATATATATATATATATATATATACTTCCTTTCGTGTTTTTGTGGTTGCTGTAGTGAGAACCAGTGCTTGTTTCATTAAAAGAAGACAAACATCACGAAACTGAAACATCATTTAGATGTGTTTACCAACTAGCTTGAAGGTGGTCAGCCTGTACATTTCTTTTAATCTTCGCCAATCAAAGACAGCAGATAATGATGCAGATAATAAAGCAGATAATGAAGCATCAATGCTATAGCAATGCAGGCCGACAAGAGGCGCTCTAACGAAAATGTTTGTTCTTCCCGTGCTAATCGACACGTACAAATCAAAAAGAGGCGACTAATTGCACACAGTCCTGGTTACTTTGGTCACAAGGATGTGCTATTCGTCTTTCTATCCACAGCTAATGATGATCAGAGTTAGTCTATTCTTGTTAACATAGCTAATGATGATCTATGTAGGCCTATCCTTGTGTATCCAGCATATAATGATCTGTGTAGGCTTATCCTTGTGTATCATGATGATCTGTGTAGGCCTATCCTTGTGTATCCAGCATATAATGATCTGTGTAGGCCTATCCTTGTGTATCCAGCATATGATGATCTGTGTAGGCCTATCCTTGTGTATCCAGCATATGATGATCTGTGTAGGCCTATCCTTGTGTATCATGATGATCTGTGTAGGCCTATCCTTGTGTATCAAGCATATGATGATTTGTGTAGGCCTATCCTTGTGTATCATGATGATCTGTGTAGGCCTATCCTTGTGTATCCAGCATATAATGATCTGTGTAGGCCTATCCTTGTGTATCCAGCATATGATGATCTGTGTAGGCCTATCCTTGTGTATCCAGCATATGATGATCTGTGTAGGCCTATCCTTGTGTATCATAATGATCTGTGTAGGCCTATCCTTGTGTATCCAGCATATAATGATCTGTGTAGGCCTATCCTTTTGTATCCAGCTTGTGATGATCTGTGTAGGCCTATCCTTGTGTATCCAGCATATAATGATCTGTGTAGGCCTATCCTTGTGTATCATAATGATCTGTGTAGGCCTATCCTTGTGTATCCAGCATATGATGATCTGTGTAGGCCTATCCTTGTGTATCATGATGATCTGTGTAGGCCTATCCTTGTGTATCCAGCATGTGATGATCTGTGTAGGCCTATCCTTGTGTATCCAGCATATAATGATCTGTGTAGGCCTATCCTTGTGTATCATAATGATCTGTGTAGGCCTATCCTTGTGTATCCAGCATATAATGATCTGTGTAGGCCTATCCTTGTGTATCATAATGATCTGTGTAGGCCTATCCTTGTGTATCCAGCATGTGATGATCTGTGTAGGCCTATCCTTGTGTATCATAATGATCTGTGTAGGCCTATCCTTGTGTATCCAGCATATGATGATCTGTGTAGGCCTATCCTTGTGTATCATGATGATCTGTGTAGGCCTATCCTTGTGTATCCAGCATATGATGATCTATGATGGCCTATCCTTGTGTATCATGATGATCTGTGTAGGCCTATCCTTGTGTATCCAGCATATGATGATCTGTGTAGGCCTATCCTTGTGTATCATGATGATCTGTGTAGGCCTATCCTTGTGTATCCAGCATATGATGATCTGTGTAGGCCTATCCTTGTGTATCCAGCATATAATGATCTGTGTAGGCCTATCCTTTTGTATCATGATGATCTGTGTAGGCCTATCCTTGTGTATCCAGCATATAATGATCTGTGTAGGCCTATCCTTGTGTATCCAGCATATGATGATCTGTGTAGGCCTATCCTTGTGTATCCAGCATATGATGATCTGTGTAGGCCTATCCTTGTGTATCATAATGATCTGTGTAGGCCTATCCTTGTGTATCCAGCATATAATGATCTGTGTAGGCCTATCCTTTTGTATCCAGCTTGTGATGATCTGTGTAGGCCTATCCTTGTGTATCCAGCATATAATGATCTGTGTAGGCCTATCCTTGTGTATCATAATGATCTGTGTAGGCCTATCCTTGTGTATCCAGCATATGATGATCTGTGTAGGCCTATCCTTGTGTATCATGATGATCTGTGTAGGCCTATCCTTGTGTATCCAGCATGTGATGATCTGTGTAGGCCTATCCTTGTGTATCCAGCATATAATGATCTGTGTAGGCCTATCCTTGTGTATCATAATGATCTGTGTAGGCCTATCCTTGTGTATCCAGCATATAATGATCTGTGTAGGCCTATCCTTGTGTATCATAATGATCTGTGTAGGCCTATCCTTGTGTATCCAGCATATGATGATCTGTGTAGGCCTATCCTTGTGTATCCAGCATATGATGATCTGTGTAGGCCTATCCTTGTGTATCATAATGATCTGTGTAGGCCTATCCTTGTGTATCCAGCATATAATGATCTGTGTAGGCCTATCCTTTTGTATCCAGCTTGTGATGATCTGTGTAGGCCTATCCTTGTGTATCCAGCATATAATGATCTGTGTAGGCCTATCCTTGTGTATCATAATGATCTGTGTAGGCCTATCCTTGTGTATCCAGCATATGATGATCTGTGTAGGCCTATCCTTGTGTATCATGATGATCTGTGTAGGCCTATCCTTGTGTATCCAGCATGTGATGATCTGTGTAGGCCTATCCTTGTGTATCCAGCATATAATGATCTGTGTAGGCCTATCCTTGTGTATCATAATGATCTGTGTAGGCCTATCCTTGTGTATCCAGCATATAATGATCTGTGTAGGCCTATCCTTGTGTATCATGATGATCTGTGTAGGCCTATCCTTGTGTATCCAGCATATAATGATCTGTGTAGGCCTATCCTTGTGTATCATGATTATCTATGTAGGCCTATCCTTGTGTATCATAATGATCTGTGTAGGCCTATCCTTGTGTATCCAGCATATGATGATCTGTGTAGGCCTATCCTTGTGTATCCAGCATATAATGATCTGTGTAGGCCTATCCTTGTGTATCATGATGATCTGTGTAGGCCTTTCCTTGTGTATCCAGCATATGATGATCTGTGTAGGCCTATCCTTGTGTATCCAGCATATAATGATCTGTGTAGGCCTATCCTTGTGTATCCAGCATGTGATGATCTGTGTAGGCCTATCCTTGTGTATAATGATGATCTGTGTAGGCCTATCCTTGTGTATCACGATGATCTGTGTAGGCCTATCCTTGTGTATCCAGCATATAATGATCTCAGCTTACTAAATTTCCATTTAAAAAAACTATTAATTCTTTGCTTAGAAATAATGTATTCATAATCTCGAGCTAAATTAAGTGTAATTAGGGGTAATTAAAATCTTATCTTGGCTGGAATGTGATGGCATTACTGTATCAGTCAAGGTATTATTGTATCAGTCAATGTATTACTGTATCAGTCAGGGCATTGCTGTATCAGTCAATGTATTACTGTATCAGTCAGGGCATTGCTGTGTCAGTCAAGGCACTATTGGATCAGTGAGGCAGGGCATTGCTGTGTCAGTCAGGGCATTGCTGTGTCAGGCAGTAAGAATGAATTCTGTACAGGATAAAGAAGTTGTAAATCGATGAAAACTACGAAAATATCAATGGAGGCGAGCGAGTTGACGAGATTCCTTCCATAATGTTGTTGACATGGAATAAAAACGTGCTTTTTAGATTTAGACCGTAAAAAAAAAATTAAAAATTAAAAACTTAAGTCTAAAATTAATTTAGAAATTTTATATTTTTAGAATAAATGCTATAAAAGTTGCAAATCCAGAGAACTTGAAAATAATTTGTTGAGTTTAAGGCTACATTTCTATTTATTTTCATCAAGCCTAAGTTATAACCGGATGTTTCACTTTCGTAAGACAAATATTGATTGGCTGTACAGTAACTTAGTGATCGATAACTAATTGTTTACAAAACTTTGCAGATCAAGTTTTTAAATAACAATGCAAATTTAAAACCCCATGACCTAGTTTTCTATTTTTAGCTTACAATGTGTACAATAAAATCTATGGCGGCCTATCCAATAGCATGATGCCATTGTTTATGTCGCCATTACACGTGAAACCCAAATTGTTTTTGCTTTTTTTTTTAAATTTTATTTAGTTACCGAAAATATTAAAAACATCAAATACATCCAATCTTTAGTAAAGTCCGAAAAAAACCAGACAGGCAGGATTTTATAACCATATTAATTGTAACTACGCTGTGCATGATTTTAAAATGAATTTATACACCTCTCAAATACCTTTGAGACTTTTCTCGCTGGTGTCCATTAATTATAATTAGCAGTATCCGAGAAAGTAAAACGCCCTAACGTTTCGCACCACTGAGCGGAGTTTCCCCATTTTGTTTCTAGCAGATTCGACTTGAACAGGACGTCCCTTCACTGAGAACCTCATTTCAACCTCGTGATAGCTAAGTATTGAGTCGTATGGTCCAGCTAATTTGCAGGTTTGATTTGATCTAGCTACAGATATCCATTGCTTTCGATGTTAGGATTGTTTTTTTTTTCAGAGGAACGGCGTTAGATCTACTGTATTTCTATAACAACGTCCAATAGTGTTGGTAAGTAATAGTGGTACTCATTCATTAGACATAAGGTGCCATCCTTGTTCATGAGCCAAAGAGTATCACCCATTAACATTTACAAGTAAAAGTAGATATGTACAGATAAAAGTAGATGTGTACAGATAAAAGTAGATGTGTACAGATAAAAGTAGATGTGTACAGATAAAAGTAGATGTGTACAGATAAAAGTAGATGTGTACAGATAAAAGTAGATGTGTACAGATAAAAGTAGATGTGTACAGATAAAAGTAGATGTGTACAGATAAAAGTAGATGTGTACAGATAAAATTAGATGTGCACAGATAAAAGTAGATGTGTACAGATAAAAGTAGATGTGTACATATAAAAGTAGATGTGTACATATAAAAGTGGATGTGTACAGATAAAAGTAGATGTGTACAGATAAAAGTAGAAGTGTACAGATAAAAGTAGAAGTGTACAGATAAAAGTAGATGTGTACAAACAATAGTGTCCATGTGTACATAGAAATCAATAAAGTCGCCGTACAATTTAATCTTAATACATAAGCCTATAGATCTAGATGTATAATTTGTCAAAACCTCTAAACAAATGACCTTGTGCTAAACAAATGACCTTGTACAGTTTCTCTAACCTTGACCCGGACAGATCAAAAGCTGCCTGAACCATGCCTGATTGGTCAGAGGTCAAGTCCCAGTTGACGGCCTTGACCTTCAAAAACGTGACGCTCTACAAGAGGTCAGTCATGCTGTGCGTGCGGGAAATATTGGCCATAGGTAAATAAAAACACATGTTTCAGTGGCCATCAAAACACATGTTTTAGTGGCCATAGGTAAATAAAAAAAAATTTCTTTAAGAAACATTTTAATAACAAGCTTTTATGTAATAATGCACTAAAAAGTAGAAAATACATTATACACTACTATTTAAATAACTATAAAGAAAAGCGTGGGTGTCTTCCTTAACATAAGTAAAGGTATCCAATGGATACTAAAGTGACCCACGCTTTTCTTTATAGTTATTTAAATAGTAGTCTATTTTCTACTTTTTAGTGCATTATTACATAAAAGCTTGTTATTAAAACGTTTTAAAGAAATTTTTTTCAGTACTTTACATGTTTTATTTACAATAGTTACATGACTAAAAACCATTGTCAAGTTTATAGCTGAAGTTTCAGTAAAGTATTGTGGGATGCCGTAGTCTAGTGGTAAGAACTAGACTAAAAACTAGATTAAAAACCATCGCGCGCCAATTGAACGTGATGACGATAGGTCAGGGGTCGGCAACCTGCTGCTCGCGAGCCGCATGCGGCTCTTTTGATATCAAGATGCGGCTCTCCAGCTCCTTGAACAAATACTAATAATCTTAATAAAAAAATAAAATATTTGAAATAAAAAAAATGTTAGTGGCTCTTTAAAACCACAGAAATTTTGAAAATTGTAACTTTTGGCTCTTCCGCTTCAAAAGGTTGCCGACCCCTGCGATAGGTAAACAAAACACATGTTTTATATATATATATATATATATATATATATATATATATATATATATATATATATATATATATATATACAGTGGCGTAGCGAGGGGGTGCGGGGGGGGGCGAAAGTTAGAGGGGGTTGCAAATTCAAAGTTTGAGGGGGTGCAAATCGAAAATTGCGTCACTGTTGTTCTTCTAATAATGTCTTTAGTTGCCGCATGCGTCACTGTTGTTCTTCTAATAATGTCTTTAGTTGCCGCATTCGTCACTGTTGTTCTTCTAATAATGTCTTTAGTTGCCGCATGCGTCACTGTTGTTCTTCTAATCATGTCTTTAGTTGCCGCATGCGTCACTGTTGTTCTTCTAATAATGTCTTTAGTTGCCGCATTCGTCACTGTTGTTCTTCTAATAATGTCTTTAGTTGCCGCATGCGTCACTGTTGTTCTTCTAATCATGTCTTTAGTTGCCGCATTCGTCACTCTTGTTCTTCTAATAATGTCTTTAGTTGCCGCATGCGTCACTGTTGTTCTTCTAATAATGTTTTTAGTTGCCGCATGCGTCACTGTTGTTCTTCTAATAATGTCTTTAGTTGCCGCATGCGTCACTGTTGTTCTTCTAATAATGTTTTTAGTTGCCGCATGCGTCACTGTTGTTCTTCTAATAATGTCTTTAGTTGCCGCATGCGTCACTGTTGTTCTTCTAATAATGTCTTTAGTTGCCGCATTCGTCACTGTTGTTCTTCTAATAATGTCTTTAGTTGCCGCATTCGTCACTGTTGTTCTTCTAATAATGTCTTTAGTTGCCGCATTCTTCACTGTTGTTCTTCTAATCATGTCGGGAGCTGAAGACAAGCAATCAGTGGAGTTCACACGACGGGAAATTACTGACACGAAAACCTTCTTTTACTACGCTCCAAACACGTCGGACTTTAATGAAATGGTCTACATCGGTAGTCATCCAAGTAGAAGTAAGTATAGTCAACATCGGCAGTCATGCAAGTAGAAGTAAGTATAGTCAACATCGGCAGTCATCCAAGTAGGTTGCTTAACAAACACAATGCCAGAATATTTAAAACTCCTACAAACAGGAGCTTTCATCGTATATTGGACAAGACATCATGGTTAGTTCGCGAAGTGGCCAGTCATTGTAAGAAATGCACTATGTATTTATCACCATATATTTAACGTTCATCGGATATTCATCAAACGCCTAGGCCATTTAGAACTTAGGTTGTAATATGTGTATATATATATATATATATATATATATATATATATATATATATATATATATATATATATATATATATATATATATATATATATACATACAGGTGTGATCGGAAAAAAAGATCTGTCTGATCTGGAAAGTAGTTTACCTTCTCTAGACCTGGGGAAGGTGAAAGAAAATGTATATGTCGTACAGTTTGATTCGTCCACTGAGGGAGGTTCAAACCTCGCTCCCACCAGCCTCAGTTATAAAGTTGTCCTCCTTGACTTTGTACCAACCCTCGAAGTCAGTGGCGAGAGTTTTGGTAAGATATGACGTGTATAAATTGGTTGACTTAGCCAATAGACATTCATTGTTTGACTTTACCATTGCAGATTAAATGATTGAATTTTCTAGTGGACATTGAATGATTGACTTTACCAGTGGACATTGAATTATTGACTTTACCAGTGGACATTGAATTATTGACCCTACCAGTGGACATTGAATTATTGACTTTACCAGTGGACATTGAATGATTGAAGTCTTTGCTGCCTTAAACATGGCGATGAAAGAAAATCTCCAACACCAAATGCGAGTTTTCAAAAGTAATGTCCTTAGCGTCCTACTGTATGACAGCTAATTCTGGAACAACCGCCACCAGCAGATCTCTGGACTCTCTACAAACTAAAAAAAATAGCATTATTAACAGAGAGTGATATTTCAACGCCAAGGGTAGACAAAGGTATAAACTAAGAAGGCCTACTTGTGGCAGATAAAAGGCATCAACTGGGCTAACAGTATCTCCAATGATAGACTACTAGGAGAGATGGAAATAGAAGAAGTTACAGAAATATTATTTTTAAAAAGATGGCGATGGATGTGGCACGTGCTAAGAATGAAATCAGGTGGCACCTCACGCCTGAAGGAAACAGAAAGCAGGGACGATGACGTCAGGGTGACATCTGGCAGAGGCAGGACTGTCATGGGGGACTGCCAAGAAACATCTGGCAGAGGCAGGACTGTCATGGGGGACTGCCAAGAAACATCTGGCAGAGGCAGGACTGTCATGGGGGACTGCCAAGAAACATCTGGCAGAGGCAGGACTGTCGTGGGGGACTGCCAGGAAACATCTGGCAGAGGCAGGACTGTCATGGGGGACTGCCAAGAAACATCTGGCAGAGGCAGGACTGTCATGGGGGACTGCCAAGAAACATCTGGCAGAGGCAGGACTGTCATGGGGGACTGCCAAGAAACATCTGGCAGAGGCAGGACTGTCATGGGGGACTGCCAAGAAAATTGCAGTTGACCGACTAAAGTGGAGATAGATCTTTATGGCGGCCCGGTGTGGCACAAAAATGAAAAGATAATGATTGAATCGTTGACTTTACTAGTCGACATTGAAATATTGATTTAATTTGTGAAATTCGTGTTTTTGTGATTTATTTAATGACTTAGGTAATCAATAACTTCCATTACACTACCTTGAGTAGCCGTTTGTAATTTTACACTTGATTTTTTGTAAACTAAAACATTTGATTAGTAAATACCCTTTATGAATGTTTTGTTTCTTACTAGAGAAATAGTAATCATAGATTTATATTATGTCACTGTAATAAATGTACATCTCACTTTCATTAATTTTGCCGTGTGGCCTGTAACCTTACTGTAACACCTGTAACCTTACTGTAACACACCATTAACCTTACTGTAACACACCATTAACCTTACTGTAACACCTGTAACCTTACTGTAACACACCTGTAACCTTACTGTAACACACCTGTGACCTTACTGTAACACCTGTAACCTTACTGTAACACACCTGTAACCTTACTGTAACACACCTGTAACCTTACTGTAACACACCTGTAACCTTACTGTAACACCTGTAACCTTACTGTAACACACCATTAACCTTACTGTAACACACCTGTAACCTTACTGTAACACACCTGTAACCTTACTGTAACACCTGTAACCTTACTGTAACAAAACATTAACCTTACTGTAACACACCTGTAACCTTACTGTAACACACCTGTAACCGTATTGTAACACCTGTAACCTTAGTGTAACAAAACATTAACCTTACTGTAACACACCTGTAACCTTACTGTAACACCTGTAACCTTAGTGTAACAAAACATTAACCTTACTGTAACACACCTGTAACCTTACTGTAACACACCTGTAACCGTATTGTAACACCTGTAACCTTAGTGTAACAAAACATTAACCTTACTGTAACACACCTGTAACCTTACTGTAACAAAACATTAACCTTACTGTAACACACCTGTAACCTTACTGTAACACACCTGTAACCTTACTGTAACACCTGTAACCTTACTGTAACACACCTGTAACCTTACTGTAACACACCATTAACCTTACTGTAACACACCTGTAACCTTACTGTAACACCTGTAACCTTACTGTAACACCTGTAACCTTACTGTAACACACCTGTAACCTTACTGTAACACACCTGTAACCGTATTGTAACACACCATTAACCTTACTGTAACACACCTGTAACCTTACTGTAACACACCTGTAACCTTACTGTAACACACCTGTAACCGTATTGTAACACACCATTAACCTTACTGTAACACACCTGTAACCTTACTGTAACACCTGTAACCTTACTGTAACACCTGTAACCTTACTGTAACACACCTGTAACCTTACTGTAACACACCTGTAACCTTACTGTAACACCTGTAACCTTACTGTAACACCTGTAACCTTACTGTAAAACACCTGTAACCTTACTGTAACACCTGTAACCTTACTGTAACACACCTGTAACCTTACTGTAACACCTGTAACCTTACTGTAACACACCTGTAACCTTACTGTAACACACCTGTAACCGTATTGTAACACACCTGTAACCGTATTGTAACACTTTACCCCAGACTACACGACAGCGACCTTGACCTCAGCGCAGCTGGTCGTGACCCAGATATTTATCAGGTACTGGTGTGTGGTCAGACAAATGGCCTGCAACCGAAGCCTCACCACTGACGCCAACCAAAGCCTCACCACCGACGCCAACCAAAGCCTCACCACCGACGCCAACCAAAGCCTCACCACCGACGCCAACCGAAACCTCGCCACCGACGCCAACCAAAGCCTCACCACCGACGCCAACCGAAACCTCGCCACCGACGCCAACCAAAGCCTCACCACCGACGCCAACCGAAACCTCGCCACCGACGCAAACCTGAATCTCGCCACACAGAAAATGCCTCAGATCGAGAGCGATACCGAGGCTGTCAGCAGACGAATTGCCAACAACCGAATATATCTACCGTTCTCTCTCCTGGCCTTCACGGTTGTCTCCATGATGCTAATAATGGAAGAAAAAGCTTCCAATATAAAGGTAACGTACCTTACCGGCAAAGTTCACAATTCCAAGTTATAATTTACGAGCCGGCCTTCGGCATAACATACGCCGCTATTTAGTTGTTTCTAATTTTCAATAATTCATAATTTGTGAATTCGACAGTACCAACGCTGACACTGAAAATATTTCTTTAAAACACTATAAGTAGCTCGTTAAGGACCATAACCCCCCCCCCTTCCTTCCCTCCCCCCCTCCTCCCCCCCCCTCCTCCCCCCCCCTCCTCCCCCCCCCCCCCCCTACGTTTAAAATCGTTGGCTCTGCTTGTAAACATTTAGAGTGAACACAGCTCACTAAAACCATGTAGGGGTGGGGAGGTAGGGAGAGCGTTTGCAGCTTGTTTTCTTACGGCTCGAAGAAGCGAATTATATATATAGATATACAAAGTCTAGGTGAATGTTATCCATAGCATGGAACATTTCAACGTTTGGGTCGAACGTCTTTTTTTTTTTAATTCAAAGAAATCATCGGGGAAAAATTGCAAGCATACAGCCTATAAATAACAATTAGCAGCCGATAACTCAATTACTTTCACGTGTAGCGTCCTTTGACGCCAAGAAATAGCGGTGTGTTGATGACATGTAGCGTCAATAGACGTCAAAAAAATAGCAGTGTGTTGATGACATGTAGCGTCAATAGACGTCAAAAAAATAGCAGTGTGTTGGATAAATTTTATACGTTGCCACTGTCAATGTGCACGGCCAAGTAAAGAGCTGAGTCCTGCTCAACTAAAGACGGAGACTCGTGAGTCCTTATAAAGAGCTGAGTCCTACTCAACTAAAGACGGAGACTCGTGAGTCCTTATAAAGAGCTGAGTCCTACTCAACTAAAGACGGAGACTCGTGAGTCCTTATAAAGAGCTGAGTCCTACTCAACTAAAGACGGAGACTCGTGAGTCCTTATAAAGAGCTGAGTCCTACTCAACTAAAGACGGAGATTCGTGAGTCCTTATAAAGAGCTGAGTCCTACTCAACTAAAGACGGAGACTCGTGAGTCCTTATAAAGAGCTGAGTCCTACTCAACTAAAGACGGAGACTCGTGAGTCCTTATAAAGAGCTGAGTCCTACTCAACTAAAGACGGAGACTCGTGAGTCCTTATAAAGAGCTGAGTCCTACTCAACTAAAGACGGAGACTCGTGAGTCCTTATAAAGAGCTGAGTCCTACTCAACTAAGGACGGAGACTCGTGAGTCCTTATAAAGAGCTGAGTCCTACTCAACTAAAGACGGAGACTCGTGAGTCCTTATATAGAGCTGAGTCCTACTCAACTAAAGACGGAGACTCGTGAGTCCTTATACCCTTGACCTATGTTTCAGGGGTGGACTAGTTTTGCTTGACCTTTGTATTAGTGTGGGCTAGCTTTGCTTGACCTTTGTATCATGTATATGGTCAAACCCCCTATTGTCAAAGCTCTGCTGTGGTCAAACCCCCTATGGTCAAAGCACCTGTGGTCAAAGCACCTAGGACCCACACACACACACACACACACTATATATATATATATATATATATATATATATATATATATATATATATATATATATATATATATATATATATATAATCTAACTAGCCCATTTTTTAAAAACTATTTGGGCAAGGATGTAGCAGCTGGCGTGTATTGGCGTGTATACCTCTGTCTGCCGAATAACCTAGGTGACGCGTGTATACCTCTGTCTGCCGAATAACCTAGGTGACGCGTATATACCTCTGTCTGCCGAATAACCTAGGTGACGCGTGTATACCTCTGTCTGCCCTAGGTGACGCGTGTATACCTCTGTCTGCGCAATAACCTAGGTGACGCGTGTATACCTCTGTCTGCCCTAGGTGACGCGTGTATACCTCTGTCTGCCCTAGGTGACGCGTGTATACCTCTGTCTGCCCTAGGTGACTCTCAACATGCTTGGCCTGGAGCCAATGACCTACTGGTTCTCCTGGCTCCACGCTCGGCTCTGTGTGGGCATTCCTCTGACCGTGATGGTGACCATAGTCTGGCTGAAGAAAAGTTCTGGCTACAACGTGCACGTGTATCGCGAGGTATTCGCCCCGTGGTTTCTGCTGATGGTGCTCAACAACATCACCTTTTCAATCGTCTTGTCTCTGTTTTTGACCAATGGTAGGTAAAGTAAAGTAAAGTTTCCCTTTCAAACCTGACGGTCTATGGGGCAAGTGAAGTAGAGTTCACTTGTTTCTGTGACCTCGGCATATGAAGAGATAGTGTGGTCAGCACTATGCCTATGGTAGGTGATAGTCATCAAATCTTAAGGATGGTAGGTGATAGTCATCTAATCTTAAGGATGGTAGGTGATAGTCATCTAATCTTAAGGATGGTAGGTGATAGTCATCCAATCTTAAGGATGGTAGGTGATAGTCATCTAATCTTAAGGATGGTAGGTGATAGTCATCTAATCTTAAGGATGGTAGGTGATAGCATCTAATCTTAAGTATGGTAGGTAATAGTCATCTAAGCTTAAGGATGGTAGGTGATAGTCATCTAATCTTAAGGATAGTAGGTGATAGTCATCTAATCTTAAGGATGGTAGGTGATAGCACCTAATCTTAAGGATGGTAGGTGATAGCACCTAATCTTAAGGATGGTAGGTGATAGTCATCTAATCTTAAGGATGGTAGGTGATAGTCATCTAATCTTAAGGATAGTATGTGATAGTCATCTAATCTTAAGGATGGTAGGTGATAGCACCTAATCTTAAGGATGGTAGGTGATAGCACCTAATCTTAAGGATGGTAGGTGATAGCACCTAATCTTAAGGATGGTAGGTGATAGTCATCTAATCTTAAGGATGGTAGGTGATAGTCATCTAATCTTAAGGATAGTATGTGATAGTCATCTAATCTTAAGGATGGTAGGTGATAGCACCTAATCTTAAGGATGGTAGGTGATAGCACCTAATCTTAAGGATGGTAGGTGATAGCACCTAATCTTAAGGATGGTAGGTGATAGTCATCTAATCTTAAGGATGGTAGGTGATAGTCATCTAATCTTAAGGATGGTAGGTGATAGTCATCTAATCTTACGGATGGTAGGTGATAGTCATCTAATCTTAAGGATGGTAGGTGATAGTCATCTAATCTTAAGGATGGTAGGTGATAGTCATCTAATCTTAAGGATGATAGGTGATAGTCATCTAATCTTAAGGATGGTAGGTGATAGTCATCTAATCTTAAGGATGGTAGGTGATAGTCATCTAATCTTAAGGATGGTAGGTGATAGTCATCTAATCTTAAGGATAGTATG